CCCCAAAACCCCCGGACGTTTACCCGAAAAACACCCGGGCGTTTACCCAAAAACACCACACCCGGGTTTACCCCAAACCACCCGGGGGTTTCTCCCAATCCAGCTGGGTGTTTACCTACCCGGAAACACCACATCCAGGTGTTTATCCCGTTTATCCCCAACCCGCCGGGTGTTTACGCAGGCGCCCCGTGCCGGCTGCGTGTGCGCCGCCGGCGACGTCGTCTTCTGCGGCGGCACCGGCGGCTCCGTCGGCGCCTTCCGCACCCGGGATCTGCTCCACGTGGGAGACCTGCCCCGGCCCCGCGCGCCCCTCCGGTGAGAACCCGCCCAGAACGGGAACAGGAACCCACCGTGAATAACGGGAATGGGAACCGGCCGGGAATGGGAACCGGCCGGGACTGCCGGCGGGAAAGGGCCAAGGGCAGGAAACGGCATCTGATCCCTTTCCCGGAGCTGGAAGGGGTTTGGAATCGGATCCAATCCCTTTCCCAGAGCTGGAAGGGGTTTGGAATCGGATCCGATCCCTTTCCTGGAGCTGTAAGGACTTTGGAATGGGATCCGATCCCTTTCCTGGAGCTGTAAGGACTTTGGAATTGGATCCGATCCCTTTCCGAGAGCTTCGGAATCGGCTTCAATCCCGTTTCTGGAGCTCCAGGAGGCTGGAAGGAGCTCAGCACTGCCGAAGCCGGATGTCCCGGGCGGGAAGGTGACGGGAAGGCTCCACGTGTTCCCGCAGGCGGCCGGAGCGGGAGCATCCCGAAGCCGTGGCCCTGGCCTACGACGCGCGGCGTTCCTGGCTCTCCTGCGTCTACGCGGACCACAGCCTGCACGTGTGGGATGTGCGGGAGCTGGGCCGCGYGCGCGCCGTCTGCTCCCACCACTTCCACAGCTCCTTCGTCTGGAATGTCGAGGTGAGGCCGGAAAATCCCGCTTTTCCCTCCCCGCATCCCGCTTCAGCCGCCACACCCGCTCCCGATGCTGCTTTTCCTGCCGCCTGGAGCAGGTTTATCCCGACCTGGAGGTGCCGCGATCCTGCTTGCCGCCCGGCTCCTTCCTCACGTGCTCCTCGGATAACACCATCCGCACCTGGAATCTGGGAAGCGATTCCCGCCCGGACAGCGCTGCCGGCACCGTGAGCTATTCCCGCCGCATTCCTGCCACCGGAGCTGCTCCGGGAAGCGCTCAGGGAGCCTTTGCAGTTCCCGAAACGCCCCCATCCCGGCGCCTCCTTGGAAAGCATCCCGGGATGGGGGGCATCCCGGGATTCCCATTTTTCCCCTCTTCCAGAGCCTCCTGAACATCACCTACGTGGACAACACCCCCCCGCACCCTCCCGATCCCRGCAACGCTCCTGACAACGGCGGCTCCCTGGACGGCAAATCCGGTGTCCGCGTCCTGCGGATCAGCCCGGACGGGCAATATTTGGCCTCGGGCGACCGCGGCGGGACCCTCAGGCACGAGTTTTGGGGCCAAAAAGCCCCAATTTGGGGCCTCTCATCCTTCCCGCTCCTCTTCCCGCTCCCTTTCCTGTGTTTTTTCCCGTTAAAGCYGAGCTCCCGCTGCCTTTCCCGGCAGGATCCACGAGCTGCGCTTCATGCGGGAGGTGGCCAAGGTGGAAGCGCACGATTCCGAAGTGCTTTGCTTGGAATATTCCAAGCCGGAAACGGGTAAACGCTGAGCACTGGGAAAAAACCTGGGAATTTCGGCTTCCGAGACCCCTTTGGGTATTTCCAGCTTAGGATAAAAGCAGCTCCTTTGGGACAAAGGGCGGTTGTTTAGAATTCCCCCCCCCAGTTTAGAATTCCCTCATTTTTACCCKGCAGGAATTAAATTTCCCCGTTTCCGTCCCCGACCTCGCCGCCCAAATAAGCGCGTTTCCACTTGGGAATTTTCCCGCTTCCAGGTGTCGCGCTGTTGGCATCGGCAAGCCGGGATCGCCTCATCCACGTCCTCAACGTGGCCAGGAATTACCGGCTGGAGCAGACCCTGGACGACCACTCGTCCGCCGTCACGGCTGTAAAATTCACYGGTGGGTGCCTGGGATTCATCCCGACATTCCGGGATTTACGGCTGGAAAAAGCATCCCACGGGATAAACAGCCAGAGCTGCTGCGGTTTCAGCAGGCACAAATCCGCTCTGGAATAACCGAGGGGGTTTTAGCGTCACCTGGATCATTTCCTAAGGAATTCGGGCTCTGCTCGACATTCCCGGTGGTTTTTTTTCCCCCTTTTTTTTTTAGGGAACGGCCAAGTCCAGCTCATCAGCTGCGGGGCGGATAAGAGCATCTATTTCCGGCATGCCCAAAAGGTGGGAGAATCTGGCAAAAAAGAGACCCCCTGTGGGGCCACAACCCCCCTTCTCCCTCGGGATAACGGATCCCCCGGGATACCCGTAGCTGGCGGATGGGCTGAGTTTCGTCAGGACTCATCACGTGGCCGAGAAGACGACGCTCTACGACATGGAYGTCGACATCACGCAGCGCTCCGTGGCCGTGGCCTGCCAGGATAGGAACGTCCGGTGGGTTTCCCAGACGCCTTTCCCAGTTTTTTTTTCCCGCGGAAAAGCAGCAAATCCGCAATTCCGTCTTGGCTCTTCCCGCAGGATTTACGACACGGCCAGCGGGAAGCTGAAGGGCTGCTACAAAGGCTCGCAGGGCGAGGACGGGGCGCTCCTGAAGGTAATTCCCACCGTTTTCCAGGGAAGGTGGCAGCTGGATCCGTCGGATCCGTCGGATCCCCCTTCCCGCAGGTGCAGCTGGATCCGTCGGGCACCTTCCTGGCGGCGAGCTGCTCCGACAAGAGCCTCTCCCTGCTCGACTTCCACTCGGGCGAGTGCGTGGCCAAAATGTTCGGACACTCGGGTGAGTTTCYGCAAACCAGGAAGGCGCCGGAGCCGCCTCCGGGAGCGGCGGGAATTCCGGAGCCTTCGGAAAAGGGGGAATCCGGGAGATTTCCCTGATTTACAGAAATAGTCACGGGGATGAGGTTCACGTACGACTGCAAGCGCCTCATCACCGTCTCCGGGGACAGGTAGGCGCGATCCCAGGAAAGTCCTTTTCCCTGGAATGCTCCTCCTTTGGAATGCTCCGGCAGGGAATTTTCCCGCTCGCACTTGCCCTGGATGTTAAACGACCTCCGGGAAGGGTGGCTTCGATTCAGATGGGTCCCGTTAAGCCGGATGGCAGCGACCGCCTGAATTTCCCGCGGCGAAAAATCCCGGGATGAGCGGGAATCCACCCGATCCCGAGGGAAAGCCGCTCGGAGCTGCCATTTGTGCTTCCAGCTGCATTTTCGTCTGGCGCCTGGCTCCGGAAATCACGGCGCGCATGAGGCAGCACCTCCGGGAGCTGGAGCAGCCCCTCCGGAGCAGGTACGGGTGGAAAAGGCGCTTGGGATTATCCCAAAAAGCGGCGTTTCCAGGCCGCCGCACTCCGGGAAGTGGCGGAAGGAAGAGGCTCATCCCACTCTTCTCCAGGCGGGACACATACGTGGCCATTCCCAGCGGGACGGGCGCCCTCGGAGAGCCCTCGGACGAGGAATCTGACGAGGAGGCCGGGTCTCCGCAGACGCCTTCCAAGGAGGACGCGGCTCCAGGTGGGAAAAAAGGCGGAAGTGGCAGTCGGGGGCACTTGGGGATTTTCCCCATCTTTTTCCCGCTTTTCCGCTCAGCTCCGCTTCCCTTTCCAGCGCCCAGCTGCCTCCTGACCAACGGGAAGCTGCCCATGTGGGCCAAGAGGCTGGTGAGCGGCTCCCTCCGGAGCGACGGGAAGCAGCAGCCGGATACCGGCCGAGCCTTCCCGTCTCCGCAGGGAGAAATCCAGCGCCGCGCTCGACGCTTTTCCCGATGTTTCCCGCTCGGTTTTCCAGCCGGGGCTGTCCCAGCTGCTCCCTTTTCCTTTCCTTGCAGCTGGGAGAGGCAGATAACGCGGATAGCGCCGGCCTCCATTCCCGGAGGAGCTACCGGCCGCAGGGCAGGTGGGCCGAGCGTGCCGAGGAAAATCCCATCCGGAGCCTGCTGGGAGCTGATCTCGGCTCCTTCACTCCCGGCAAAAGCGAATTCCAGGACGAGCCGGAGCCCCGGGATTTGGCGCGGCTCCTCTTGGAGGTCGGGGATCCCTCGCAGCGCATCCCGATATCCCGTTTCCTGGGACAAATGCCCCTCTGGAGGCTCCCGGCAATTCCCCACAGCCAGGATGCCCGGAATTGCCCCGTGCTGCAATAAGAGGGGATTTTCCCGTCCTTTTTCCTTGGAATTCTCTCCGCAGACGGAGATGTCTCCTGGCAGCATCATGGAGGACTCCAAAGATCCCGAGTTTTTCTCCAGGGACGAGCTGGAATCTCTGGATGCCACTGGCACCAGCCTGGAAGAGGAGACGTGTTCCCGGGAGAGCTCCTTGGAGAGCCCCAGGTCGGTTCCTTTCCCTTTTCCCTTCTTGGAAAAGACACAGATGGGAGAAATCCTTGGAAATCCGTTAGCCCAGAGCCAAGCAGGATGGATATTTTTAGGGAAACACCCCAAATTCCCTTGAAAATACCCTGGATTTCTTCAGCTTAATCCCACTCTGGATCCAGACGGGTTCCCTTTGGAAAGACAGCACCAAACGCTGCTGTGCTTTCCGGAATGCCGAGGGCTTTTCCGGCCTTTCTGAGGGAACGGCAAGGCCCGATGCCCATGTTCCCTCCAAGGAATCGCCCTACGGAGCTGCCTGTTTATCCGAGGGATCCGGGAGATGTCGCAGACAAATCCCCATCCGACGCCTCGCCGGGAACATCCGCAACTCACCAGCAGCCGGAAGGTAAYGCTGGGAATGGGGCCGCATCCCGGGAAAAGCGGGGGGTCTTTCTGAGATTCCGGAAGGGCTCTGCTGGGAAAGGGCTTTTCCTCCCCTTGGGATGCGCTTTGCTTCCCGATATCCCGCTGCAGACGATTCCGATGGAGATGCCGAAGGGGAAAAGGCTGCCGACATCCCGAATTCCGACGGCTCCCTGCCCCAAACCCCCGAGCAGGAGAAATTCCTCAAGGAGCACTTTGAGACKCTGGGGGATGCTGAAGGTAGGGAAAAGGGGGAGCAGGCGGCACTTTTCCCATTATCCACTCGGGAATCGGGGGCCTGCTGATCCCTGCTGGGATTTTCTCCCGTTTTTTAGGTTGTAATTCCCTTGTTTTGCCGTTTCCTGGTTATTTTCCTCTCCCTTTTTCCCTCCTTGCGAATTGAAATGACGGGATGGGCTTAGGGAGAATCCCGGCTAAGGCTCCCCTTGAATTCCAGAGAAATTTGACGGCTCCTTGAAGGATCTGAAGCTTCCTGAAGCCGGAGAGGAGGAAAAATCCCTTTTCCTGAACCCGCGGTTGAGCATCTCGGCCCGATTCCTCCAGCGCTGCCAGAGAAGCAGCCGGTGCGCCCCGCTTCCTCCCGCATTCCCGATGGGAAAAGAGGGATTTGGGGGACCCCGCWGCGAAGCGGAGCCTCTTCCCAAAGCGGGATTCCTTTTCCATGCCCCTTTTCCGCGCCGCAGGCTGGCGGCCACGTTCCTGCCCCGCGCTCGGCCGCCGCCTCCGGACGACGCTCCAGAGCCTGGGAAGGAGGATGCGGAAGCAGACCTGGAGCTCGGGAGGCCAGAGGTAATGGGATACCATCCACCGGGATGCGGAAATAGCCGATTTTCCAAGTCTTATCCCCAAAAAAGAAGGGCTTTGGGCACCYGGAGCACATGCCCCAGGGCATTTCCCGGTGGGATCCTCCACACTGCCTGGGAATCACCTGGAAAAGCCCCATTCCAGCCACGAATCCATGGGTTTTAGCCCCAAATTTAGCCTCAAGTGGAATTTTTAGGAACTACCGGAAACGAAGCCCCAGGAAACAGGAGGAAAAACCGATGCAGCTCCTTGCAAATCAGGTGAGATCCCAAAAGGACCCGCAGCTCCGTTAGTCTGGAATGCTGGAATGGGAGCCCCGAAGGGGCTTGGATGCTCCGGATGGAGGTGGTTTAGCAGCTCTCCCCCCACATCCCATAGGAATTCTCCAGAGCTTCCAGGAGAAGCTGCAGCCGCTGCGGGCGACATTCCGGGAGCTGCTCCAGCTCTACGACGAGGTGGGGAATCCAGAATGGGCATTCCTGCTCCTGCAGCAGCATTCCCACCTCCCAAACACACCCACAATTCCCAACCATTCCAAATCCGCATGGATTTGACGCCCAGGCGGGGGGCTCCCAAGCTTTTCCAGGCTTCTGGGCTGGATACTTTTCCATCTGATGCTGATTTTGGGGGGATATAGAAAGGGAGCCAAAATCYGGGCACAAATCCGCTGCCGTCCTCCCCTGTCGCAGCTTTCCCAGCTCGGGAATGCGACGGAAGCGGAGCTGGAGCAGCTCCGGGCCGCCTTGGCCGGGACGTGCACCTGGATGCGGGCGGAGCTGCGGCTCCGGGCGGGATCCGGCGCCGGCTCCGGCCACTCTGACGCCGCCACGGCCACGGACGCTCCGATGCCGCCGGATGCCGAGACCCTGGCGCTGCTGCGCTCCTATTCGGAAGCGCTGCTCCGCATGGTGCGGCTCCGGCTCCAGGAGCCCGGCCCCGCCTGAGCGGCATTCCCGAACCCCCATTCCTCCCCCTGTTCTTTTATTTCAAAGCTCAGATCYCAGTGGTGGCTCCCATTCCCAACTGGAGCCAAGCCGGAGCCGCCACTGGGATCGAGGCCGGAGCCTCCTCTGGGATCGGGGCTGGAGCTGGGCTCTTTCCCAAAGTTTTCCCAAATAAATATTGCCTCCCACCCTTCCAAGCCAGCAGCTCATCCTATCTGGAGCCATTCCCGCCCTCGGGAAGGATTTTCCCTATTTTTGGGGGCATCTCCTCCCCTTCCTGGCCCCTTTTCCCAGGAATTTTGGGACACCAGSAAGAACTGGGGTATTTGGGGGGTATTTGGGACTGCCCCCCACACTTCCCGCATGGAAAAGACACGATAGAGGCAGCCTCATCCCAAAAATAATCCTCTTGGATACCCAAAAGYGTGGGGATGGAGGAGGAAACGGAGCCGCTCTCCCGGGCTCAGCGACGCCAGGCGGCCTCTGGATCAGGATGCGGGCTGCGGGATTGGGATCRGGATGTGGAGCCAGGCTGCAGGATCGGGCTGCGGGATCCCGGCTCCGGCGCGGCGTTCCCGCCCTCGGGAATGGGCTACTCGGTCCAGCGGTGGCCGCAGTGGGGGGCCGTGCACACGTAGTAGAGGCGCATGGCGTCCTGCGGGGGG